TATTTGCTCTAGAATCCTACTTAATCTTGTTTTTTTTTTAATTTTTTAAGTAAGAGATAAATTCATTCATTTACTCCCCACCATGCACTCTAGTGGCAATGAAATTGTTATTACTTAGAAGTAGTCTCGTGTGACCAAACTCAATCTCTACCCCTTTTAAGCTTTTAGATGGAAAGGTCAAAAAGGGGTGGAAAGTTTTGTCACACAAGACTAGCTTAGACATTGATTAATTTAAATATGCATGCTCATGTATTGCACACATGATAAAATACTATCATGGTAGTTTAATAACCACAACATATAATCAATACAGTGGGATTATCTATACTATCACGCAGGCCCACATTTCACTTAAAAAACCAGCTGTGACAAAAAGAACAAATTAAAGGCAGTGCCATAAAATTAATTATGACACAAGATCAAATTTTAAACAATAGTCATTATTAGTTATTACATGCATATTTCCTATAATTCAGGCATTAAAAGGCATATCTTAACAAGCAAGATAAACTGTGCTGTACCTCATTAATTTCTTTAAAAACATTAAGTCGTTTTACTGTACACTCCAATCTTTTTTCTCGTAAGATGCACAATTCATCCACCTTTTCTTTCTCCCTATCCACAAGTTTCATACGGTTCTCCACATCATACAGTGCAACGTCACACTTGACTGAAAGATTACATGCTTTTGCTTGTATCACATATGACTGTACCATTTCCTTTAACAAACTCCAAAGTGCTAGAGTACTGCAACCAATCTGAAATAACCCATTATTATCATAATAGTGTATAATCTACAAATTTATTCATATAAAAATTTTAAATCTAAAAACTCTGCATAATTTTATTTTTGCAATAGGGATGCATGTACATTGCATGTGACTACTGTATGTGTGACCTAATTTTTGTGAATTTCTCATCCCCCATAAGTCACTGTCCATATTTTCAGATATACAGAATGACCATCAACTTGCCTTATTAATATTATCCCTCTGATTGTGACAATAAACAATTCTTCCTTCTACTTCACTTACAGTTCCACAAACTTTACTATGTGGGAAGCTGGACATTACATTTTGTACTTCTTTTAAAAACTAATAATAAACAATAATGAAAGCAAAAAAATTTTAAATCATACATTATTAGTAGCACTAAAACACTGCTTTGCTAACAGTAACACCTCCCTCCTTTCATCTAATACCACTGCAAATTCATGAACAATCTTTTCTAAAGTAGAAATCTCAGGCTCCATTTCCTCAGAGCGGCATTCTCCATTATCACAAAGCTCCTTCCCTTTCCTTTTTAGTATGTTAAACTGTGAATAAAACATCTTTTGCAAAATAAAATAATTGTTTATTTTAAAACGTCAATATACTTGGGCTTCAGACTCAAAGCAGTCATGATTCTTTAAAAGTATATTCACAGATTCAACACTAGCACCAACTGCAACATTTTTAAGCAGATGATCATACCCAGATTCTTTAATCCAGCCAGAAACCTAACAAAAAACTAAATATGTTTCAAATCAACATACTGCACTACTTTTTCAGATTGCATTTGAAAAAGCTGAAAATTAAGAGACTGTGAAAGATACTTTTGCCTCCTTTTCCATTGCTCTTCAATCATATTTCTTTCATCATACAAATTTTCAAGACGCTCTTTCACATGGCGAGTTGCTTGAATGAACTTAAATGGAACACTTCCCTCCCCAACAGGTTTTCGAAGTTTCTCAATAAGGTGATGTCCATCTTGGTAAGCACTAGTATACATTAAAGAAACAGTGTCAGCAAGCTCATTGTGCCTTGTCACTGCTAATTGAACGCTCGATTTATAAGAATCAGATGAGCATTCATCCATCCATGACTCAGAGTGTTGAATAAACTAAACAATAAAAATTAAAAATATTAAATTTGCTATTGCCGTTGAAGGATTATATTTCACTGGAAAAAAATTTTGCTAATTTCACGTTTTCATTACATTTGCAAGATTAAAAATCTACAAAAGAAGGGTGGCACACTAAGAAAAATGGCTGGATAAGGTAAGATTCATGAAAATTTATACCAACAAAAATGCAAATCAGAATAAATTCAACAAAACTTTATACCAACAAAATAAACCCCTTATACAGTACTATAATTGCATCATATAAATTATCAATACAATAAAATAACCAGACACCTAAGGTGCGTGGCCTCACCCCTAAAGCTCTTAGGGAGGTATTAGGCTTAGCTAGCCTAAGCCACTATATTTAAATGATATAGCTCAAAAGTGACAGACTAGGCAAGTGTGAAAAGTATGATGGGACTCTGGAGTACCTCCAAAAATTGGTAAAATATATTCATAAAGTCCTATTAGCATCTCAAGATTTATCTCTTATTTATACACTATATTTATACTTCTTGCAGTCTCTCATTTTAAAAACAACATCATGGATTCAACACCACAGCTTTTGTTGTGGCCACTATCTATCAAAATCACTCTTGAGGCCAAGGGATTATCATAACAGCTAGCTTCCTAGCTGCAGTTACACTTGCTCTTGCATGGTTGCAGAAGTGGAAAGCAAGCTGCTCCAGCAACTCCCAGCTTGGAGGCATGGCATTAATTATAAATAATGCAGCAAGACCATGTGAGAAGGAAGCTTCAGGGTTTTTTCTCTTCTAAGTGTTATATGATGTTATAAAGGCACAAATACTGTTGCCTAGATAGATTGAGTGCCTTAAGAGAGTTTAGGATCCCATAAACTAGCAAACTGCTGCTATAGCACTTCACTCGGGATGAAATTCGAGTAGCTCTAACTCACCAACAAGAAAAATTTAAAGAGTTCCACACATATTAAATGAATAACTAGTCTCGATCTACTGGGAAAGAGTCTCATTTACCTCGAGAGTACTACGACTATTGCTGGGCATTTTCTCGTGAGTTAAAAATCTTCTACAACCTAGAACTGCCCTCTAAACATCTCAAGGCAGTAAAGCAAGACTTTTCCTAACAGAAGAGAAGCTCTTACAGATTTAGAGCGCACGATTGTAAAGATATACTTTCTCAAAGACAAAAGAGAGCACACAGAATGAAAGAATGACAGACAGACAAACTGAGTACCTAGTCCTCACCTACGCACTGCTGGGTGAGGCCAATCAGGCTAAACTCTTATTACATAAAATTTTCTTATATAAAGCTTTTCTAGTTTATATGCACACTGTCATGACAATTAAATTACAAAATTTGGCATTTTAATTGCCACAAAGTGCATGCAGTTTGCAAGCTATTTCAAAAAATTTTAGTAGATCATAAAAATGCAAAAAAACATAAAAATACATTGTATTTCACCATAAAAAAGTATGTATACATTAGCCTTATCAGTTTGACACATAATTTTAATTCCTATTAATCCATCAATTAAAATATTACCATTAGGACAAGGCACCTAACAAGGGTAGATTGGCACCAGTTGCTCTTTCCTTCGTGCACAACAAAAGTACTTTATGATAGTCTTAATCTTTATCATGCACTAAAACAAGTCTCAAGGAGCTAAAAATTAACATCAATGATGATAATACAATTAATGCTGTCTTAATATTTCGCTTCAGGCAGCAAATAAATTTTCACAATGTAAAAAAATTACACAGGTAACCAATAAAAATAACTAGAAATAAAATAAAACATTAAGGGGCTTAGCCTTCCAGATTTAAAGAATTTCTATGTGATGTTGCAGCTGGAAAACTCTTGGCTTGCCTTGCTATGTTCACTGACTTTGAAATAGCCACAAGAAAAAGGCACTCAGCATAATGTGCCAAAGAAGCTCAGATTTTATCATAATGTGAGATATCGTATAGAAGGAAATTTAGGAGGTAGTTAAATTTGGCAAATTTGGCATTTTAATAGACATTCGCCAAAATAAAAATCTGCCATTTTGAGCCATTATTCGCATACTCAATGGCACATGGCCACAAATTCACCAAATTAAAATTTGCCAATCACAAAAATTTAGCAATTTGCAAAAAAAATTAGTCCCTCCAAAATTTCCTTCTGTACGGTAAATAAACATGTAGGAACCGATATGTAGATACACTAGACAGAGTTAAAAGAATCTACATGTATCTATCCTGTAGATGTGAACCACTTCAAAGCATAATTACTACCATGAAAAAATTAAGAAATTGTATGCATATTACTGAAATGTGAGGTTTCAATTTAATTGAAATGGTTTTATATCTCTTTGAGAGTGTCATCACTCATCAGTACAATCTGTACTTTAACTTCTATAGGCCTCTTCTGCCTAGCAACGCTTTTTAAATATTTGGTAATAAATGAAGACATGTCCAAGCTATAGGCACATCTGCATGTGTAAGCCTAACCCATGTAGTTTAATTTTTAATTAAAAATTCATGAAAAAAAACAGAGCAACCATAGTACAAGTACATGTAGAATGTAGAATGTATCTACTAGTCCCCCACATGTACCCGTATGGTGCAAGTCAAATAATCAATACATATGTATAGTACAACAGATTATTGCACACACAACACGGGTGGTTAATAGCAAGAGTATATACCGTATAAGATGAAATGTTGATGGGGATTTAATATTGGCGGATTGACAAATTTACATTAAAAAACCAAAATAAAATCCGCAAGCAATAATTCCATTCATGCGTGTGACCACACCCACATTAATTTTAGTTAAAAGCATGGTTAAAAGCACCTAGCTAACATGGCTTTACTATGTTTCTTTAAGCCAGTCCCTAAACCAGGTAATAAAGAATACAATCTTCCAGAAAAGGTACAGTCTTTCGCTGATAATAATGTTTTCCACTAACCACAACCGCTTAAGTAAAACCCCGCCTAAGGGTGGGGATATAATTAAATTGTTAGAAACCACCAATAAGCTAGCCATCACAAAACCACCAAAAAAAACTCCCGCCAACAAATCATCTTATACGGTAATGTCCTTCATTTGGTTGTCATCAATTTTTAATTAGAATTATTTTTAAAATTGTAACCTCAAACCACGCCATTTAGGCTTCTAGCTAGGACATGCAAGTATTCACCTGGCACCTGCATACTATTAGTACATATAAAATACCACATTGCCCTCTAAAATAGGTAAAAAATTGTACTAGACAACAAAATCATCATTAAAAGTAAAGTAATGTATGCATGTAGAAACAAGCACATTCCTCTCTTTCTCTCTTGATTGCTACAACATTTATTTCACTTCAGCCACTATAATGCTGTACTCAATCTACTATACATGATTTCTTACCCTCTCCTCTTTTTCATGAAAACTAGCAGATAATGACATTAGAGAGTCTCTTTGATGAATGGAATCCATTAATTTTTCCCATGTTGTACTTATTTCATCAATTGTATTAGAAATAAGATGGGAAGATGGATGATTTAAAGAAATTAAGCGTTGCCCTACTTCAATGACACGGTTTATCTCAGCATGCTTATCCTAAAATAAAATGAACATTATGTTCAGATATGAAGGACCTCACATTAATCTTTCTTTGATAAAGTTCAATTTGCAACTTAGAAGCACGAGCTGAGACTACATCTGTACCAATTCCAGTTATTTCACATGATATATAATTAATCTGATCATAAACCCAAAGTTGATGCTGCTTAATAACAAATAAATCATTGAATACTATACATACATATGCTATTAGCTAACCTGAGAGGCATCGTTTTCAAATGTTTTAAATTGCAGGACATGATCCAATGAATCGCCTTTTTTCTTCCATGTTTCGTTTAAGTAGAAATTCATGGTTTTAAGAGAATCACAGAGCTGAAAAATTTGTGCAAAAGCTGCATCAAAGTCAGGGTTAGTTAATGTAGAAGACTGTAGCAGAGCAACATCATTTTTAACAGTAGTCAACAATGATTCAAGCTTATGGTTATCAAACTTCTCTAATAAGAGTAGATGATTCTTAACAGCTTTCTTGGCCTTTGAAATAATATGATAGAATAAATGTCACAGTTAAAAAAGGGAGACAATGTACATGTACCTCTTCAAGGTCAACAGATACTACATCTTTAGCAATAATGACTTGTAAATCACTGTAATTTTCCTTTACAGACAACAAATGAGTCATTAAATCTTCTAATTTCTAAAAATAATAACATTCCTTAAAAAATATTATCATAATACATACATGTCAGTACAAAATAACTAAAGCTGCAACAGATATGCATGGCATTTTATTATCAGGATATTCTGTTTCAATTTCTTTACTATTTTGCTTCATTATTAACAATAGCAACAGTTGAACATGTATGACAGGAAGCATTTTACTTGCCAAGATGTTATTCTTGTACATGTACATGTACTTCTTGTACATTTCTGGTAGTTGAAAAGCTTAATATAATTTAAAAATGACTAAGAAAGTTGGTAGCTTCAAAAGCTTTATCATTTATTTCAAGTCATTAACTGATGGGACGCATAAATGAATGATCAAGTCTAGTTACAATTGCAATGTATTTGACCCCAAACCTGGTACATGTACATGTAGGCATGTATATTATTATTATCCAGATACTACTTAATAAGTAAGTTTTAGGTTAATCAGGATAATTATTTGTGTCAGCTCTCAAAATAACACTTCATGCTTAAATAAAAGATGGCCGGGCAATACATGTACCATACATCCTTAAATAAAAAAGGGTGTGAACAAGCGCCAGGGTAGCAATAAAATGGAAGTAATTAACCACGCATGCAATTATGTCAGACCAACCATATGCAATTTACATGTATCTCAATAACCATACATAAAGCATGACATTTGTGTCCACCAGCATGATGTACATGTACCTACACATGTAATTTAAAAGGAACAATATTAGTCTCCAACCACCTTTAATTTTTTTTCTAGGTAGAACCCTGTATATATGTACTGTACTAATGGCAGAAGGTAATAAGCATTACACTAAATCTTACCTACATGCATAAATTCTAAACAACAACTATAGCACTGAATCTTAAATTCTCTATCATTATTATAGAGCATATCAGTAATGCCATATTATTGGAAATAATGAATTATTAATACCGTACGGGTAGAAAATTTAAAGGGTATAAAATTTTGGTGTTTTAGTGAAAACATCTTAATTCTTAAATTTCGAGGGCGGTAAACTTCACGTTTTTGCACATGCACTTGCATTAACTCATTGATTTTCATGTGCTGCGCATGCGCAGTGAGCATTTCCATGGTATTAATTTTCGTGGTTGAGAAGTCACCCACGAAATCCGGGAAATTTATTACCCCACGAAATTTTATACCCGTACGGTAGTACAAAGTCTTCCTTTACAGTGTAACTGCCCCCATTTTTGAGGTATTTATTTTATTGGCTTAATATGATGGCTTGACCATAGTAATAATGCATACCAACTCCAATTGTTCAAAAAATTATTCACTGAAAGTTGAGCTTTCAAAAAGCACTTTTTTCTTTCTGCCATAATACTTCTATCGGTGGAACTGGCTAAACGTGATGTCATACAAGGCAAAGCTAGCTGCATCTAAATCCATTGCTGCATAGGGGGAAATGATCGTTTATTCTCATGCCTAGTAATGTAATAGCACTAACTTTAAAATTGGGATCAATAGCTTTCATTATTCTAAGCATGCAACTGCAAGAAACTGACTCAAAATAGGAAACAAAAAGATTCACTTACAAGTGATATTTGAACTTTTCTTGCAGTTGCATGCTTAGAATAATGAAAGCTAATGATCCCAATTGTAAAATTAGTGCTATTACATTACTAGGCATGAGAATAAAGGATCATTTCTCCCTATGCAGCAATGGATTTAGCTGTAGTCTCACCCCGCTCCTTCGCTACCTATGGAGGAAGGGTCTGGAGAAATGCAAGGTAAAAAAATGTGTGCTCATGCAGAGAAATTCACGTCTCAATCAGATTGCTCAAACCACGTGTAGGACAAGAAGTCATGTGACCAAAGAGCTCTGTTTCAGACAAAAATGAAGAATGAGGACTAAATGAAGGAAGAAAGGAGCCTGTAACACTCCCTGGACTTCTTTCTCAAAGTTTAAGAGCAGCATTACTGTGCCGCTTACTATAATGACGCCATTGCACTTATGACATACATGTAATAGTAATGTCACGTGTTTACATTAAAACGTCATCAATAAAAAGTAAATACTATGGCGCTCTATGAAGAGTTGCTACTCTCAAATCTGCAACAGATGTCTAAGAGACTCTATCCTCATCTTTTCTTAGCTGCAAAGCATCTGTTTAAGCTGTTTTGACGGAGCTGGTCTCTTCTGTCACATGATATAGAGCTAAACACATGTTCTTTGCACATAATTTTTGCGTGAGTGTCTCCAGACCCTTCCTCCGCAGGTAGCGAAGGGGTGGGGTGAGACTAATTTAGCTACATCTCTGCCTTATATGACGCAGGTTTAGCGACCCCTACTGACAGGAAGTAATATGGCAGGAAGCAAAAAGGGCATTTTTGAAAGCTCATATCTCAGTGAATATTTTTTGAACAATGGAAGTTGACATACATGTACAGTATTACTATAATCAAGCCATCATTGTAAGAAAATTAAATAAATACCTCAAAAAATGGGGGCAGTTATACTTGAATGACAATGGCACTAAATACATTTAATGAAGTAAAAATTAATTAATGTACATCATTTAAGGATCATGCAGTTTGTACATGTACATTGACACAGAAATCTATATGAACTGCAAAAGACTTAATTTCCCATCAGTTCATCAAGATTAAAAACCTTTACACCAAAGATTTTAAATCTGTTACTTGACCTTCTTTGCTACAGGAAAAGACTGTGGACAACAGGTCAGCCTTATTTTATTGCAAGCGAGACTTTCTGCTGTTTCATAGTCAGCACTTTGTAACCACACTCACATACATGTACATATAAATTAAATATTGTGGAGTCAATAAAACACTAAATTGGCAGTTCCTAAGTCTCAAACAGTGTTGTAACTGTCATTGATAATAACCATAAATTTACAGTACATACATTGTTGTGTAACTATATAAAGTAATAAATACTAATAATTACGCTTATAATAAACTAATAACAATCAATGTATCAAATGAAATCAAGTACACATCTTCCTATACAAAGGTTTTCTACATAATAAAACTCACTTCAATAACAGATATCCATTTAAAATGATCATACTCAAAATCACCATTTTGATATGTAGGAACATTGCTACGAGATATATAATGGAAAACGTCTGCAGAATGCTCCAACAATATGCACTGCTAAAACATATCAAAGTTGCTGCATCTTAACAATTGCTAACCTTAAAGTCATATTTACTCTTTTTAAAACTAAAGTTTACTGACGATCGCCCACGCTGCCACATAGATTTTGGTTTCATAATTATGACCTGATGAACATACTCAACAAAAGTAACCTTAATAATGAATAAAATAATAACAATTGATCTCTTCTATGAAATTACTTTGATGACTTCCAAAGTTTTTTTGATCATAGACCACGTCCCTTGCCTCACATCAACCAATATAGTAAAACCAAACTTTCGTACTTGATCGCTATATATTATATCATGGAAAAAAACAGTCAACCTGATGCTTTCATCTCTCACCTTGTAATTTCTTTGAGGTAACACAAAATTTTTCCTAAATTAAAAACAGTGAAGCTCTGCTGTTCTACTGCATGAATAACAATTACAGAGTGACCATTATTATCTTGGGAGCCTACAAACAAAATGACACATGATGAAACAAAATTAAAATATGCAACACTTCTATTACAAAAGCATGAAATACAAAGTAACGAGTAAATTCTAAAAAACATTAAATATGGAAAACTTACAAACTGGCATGGTAAAACCACTGCAATTATATTACCCAAAAGCTCAGTAATTATTCACACAGCCACTATGATACCTAGCACTATGAATAAGCTTTCACATGTATCTTTCACATGCAGGTATAGGATTTGCTACCACACAAGTTTACAAGTACCCTCCTGTTTCCTTCCTTTTTTCCAAATTCAATCCTACTATTTCCTATTAGTAATGTTAATTACTTGCTTGTTTCCTTTCTCTTTTTTTAAATACATTATCTACATTCTGTGGTTAGGCTATAATTACAAAATGTACATTGTAAATTTATGCTGATCATGCGCTTATTATTAAAATGGCATCAAACCAAAAGCCATGGGTCATCTCCAGCTAAATTTTGTCCTTCATTTTGTTTTCTGTTTGATTTCTTTGAAACCACCTTTGTGCTTCTTGAACAAGCAAAAAGAATCATGTGCATATAAGCCAAATCGAGTAGTTCTCTAGATTAAAAGATCATTGTGGCAAAAGAAGATGCACAAAATTATTTTGAACTTGTGCCTATTCTCCAGAAATGCTCCCGCTACATTACATCACTCAGTCCACTTAAGAAGATTTCCTCAGTGAAGGAGAACATATCAAAGCCACTGATAAGACTGTACAACGTAAGATAAAAGAGTTATACAAGCATTTCAAAATGGCCATGCACCATCTCAAAAAATCTCCCTAAATCCTACATAAAGGCTATTGCCTAAATAATACATGTACATGTATGTTGTGTTGGCCCATGAATTAAGAGGTCGGTCAAGAGAAAAATCAGCATTCAGTTAAGGTTACATAAAGCATGAGTCAAATGGAAAAGGTAGAATCGCCCACACAATTGATTAAAAATCTGCCTTTAAAAACAATTTTTGTGGCTGACAGTTTACATGGTTTCGTGGGTTTTAACTTTTAATTACCAAAACCAAAAATGAAGTGCCAAAATATAACTTTCTATAAAGTATACTATTCTAGAACACAAAACTCAACTTGCCACACAAGCTGAACATCTCCATCTTGCATACAGTGTAACAAGATGTTTTAGCTTAATTTTTCATTTTCATGAACACAATTCAACAGTAGTGGTCTTACATGTCATTAATTTATTTAGGAACAGGACAAACAGGTGGGCCATAAATTCCACCACTGATTATGTGGTATGCTTTACAGCAAAAAGTTAGGTCATTCCATTGCATTTTATAATGCACAAACGTTGCTATCAAAATGAAGATAGAGTTTGAACTCTGTGTGTTGCAATTTGATATGTACTTCATGAACCAAATACTGAAAGTAAACTCATACCTCATACAATACGAGGCAAATACATAGTATAAAATCGGCTGCCTATTCATTTTAAATTTACCTTGCGTTGAATGATGATAATGATCGATGCATGAGGCATAAGTTCACTATACATGCATTATATATTTAGGGCAAGTCATCACCAACCAGCAATATGCAATCAAAGTAAAATTTACTATGGACCACAAAAGATCGGGGAGTATGAGTTTTGAGCACAACAGTTTTTTAAAACAAATACAACTACTGTAGATGTACCATATTTCCTCAAATAAAAGCCAGGGCATATTTTTCTTAAAATGACATTTGGACCTCAATAAATATTTTTAAAATAAAATAAAACTTAGCCAACAGTGGCATTCAAACGAGGGATCTGATGCAAGTGCATTCAAAAAGCTTAAAGGGTGACCAACACAAAAAATTGTATTTTCATTATGGTTTCATTTCAATGGATTTATGTACAACTACCCAATTACATGTATGTTTATAGACTACATAAATATAACTATTATAACAATAATAAACCAACAACAGACTCACCAGGCATTACTGCCAGCTGCATTTGAAGAAGGTCACTTATCTCTGCATACTTCCATTTTTTAAGAACAATATCATCTATAACAAATCAGAAGAGCAATAACATATACACATGCATGAAAGTCACTAAAATTAAATATTATCTGAACATCAAGTAAGGCACTTAGGGTGCGTGGGCTCGCTGCAGTGATGGACTCACCACATTTGCTCATACATTTATGCACTAGTAAAAGCAACAAATTGTGCTACATGTATTTACATGTTAATAGTGCATGTTCTGCACATACATGTTGTATTTATAACCACACTCAGACTCCAATCAAGAGAGCTATAAAAACTAACACAAACTATGATGGTACAGATACTAATGCCTTGATACGGTATACTGGTTTATTTCTGCAAATTTCGCGGTTTCTTGCTCAGTCAAGAAATTTTTCCACCCCAAAATTTTGCACCTCCATTACCACGTGCTGCTGCAAGCTATTCACAAAAATTAATGCTGCAAAATCATAAAAATGCAAGATTTGCAAAAACTTTTTACTATGAAAATAAACTGGTATACGGTAAATTTTATTTAGGGGTAATGCATAAGAAGTACATCAAATAATTTATGCATCAAAAATACAAGCAGCTAAGATTGCCATTACTAACAGAGGTGTGGCTTAAAGATCATACATGTAGATAATAGAGTAAATGAAAGAACTCGAAACTTCTGCATGGGAATAGCAATAATGCTATTTAATTGTATTGTTCCTCAGTAAAAAAACTATGTAGGGTGTTATACTTCTGACAATAAGATTTTTACTTTTTTTCATTTAAAATACAACATACATATACTGTAACTCCCAGAGAAGTGCTCCGATGAAAAAAATCACTGAACTATCAAGAAGCTTATATAGTGTTTTGCACTGTTAATTGCCACTTATGTAATACAATTAAATTAATAATAATTTATTTTGAGTTTTATAGCACTTTTGATTGTTGTTTTCTCCCACTAATAGAGACATTTGTTATTAAACACCAAAAAGCTTGTCAGTATATACATGCACATGTAGTCACTGTCAGAACTTTCAAAATCGTTATGTTTATTTAATTTTTCTCCCATACTTTACAGGCTTCGTCCCCTATCACACCCCTAGCACTCGCTCTAAGCTCTGGTCTTTAAACAAATTAGATGATAAATGAAGGCTTGCACTATAACTATACATGCAGAAAAATGTATAAACCTAAAGCACTCAGCTTTAAGTTTAAAAGTCCTTTTGAATCTAATTAAAATTCTTGCTTACAGACCAACAAAGTAACTAATACTTGCCTATGCAGCTAGTCCAACAACAATACAAGCATTGTAATTATAAAAACAGCAGTTTATGCATTCAGTTTCAGCTGAGAGATAGTCTCGCCACGCCCCTTCGCTACCTGCGGAGGAAGGGTCTGGAGACACTCGCAGTAAAAAGCTGTGCTATATGCAGAGAAATCCACGTCCCAATCAGATTGCTCGAACCACGTGTAGGACAAGTAGTCATGTGACCGAAGAGCTCTGTTTAAGACAAAAGAAGAAGAATGAGGACCAAATAAAGGCTGGAAGAAGCCTGTAACACTCCCTGGACTTCTTTCTCAAAGTTTAAGAGCAGTATTATTATGCTGCTTACTACAACGACGCCATGGCACTTATGACGTCATAATAATGTCACGTGTTTACAATAAAACGTCATCAACAAAAAGTAAATATTATGGCGCTCTGTAAAGAGCTGCTGCTCTCAAATCTGCAAGAGATGTCCAAGAGGCTTTATTCTTTTCTTCTTTTAGCTGCAAAGCATCTCTTTCAGCTGTTTTGACTGATCTGGTCTTCTCTGTCACATGATGTAGAGCCAACCACGTGGTTTTCTTTGCACACATTTTTACCGTGAGTGTCTCCAGACCCTTCCTCCGCAGGTAGCGAAGGGGCGTGGCGAGACTAGCTGAGAGAGTACATGCAGGTACATGTACCACCCCTTACTTTTATATTTTTAATTTCAACAACATAAAACTTATTATACAAAAAACATTTACAAGTACTAAATCTAGGTACCTTGGAAGTCAACTCGACAAGCTTACTTACTCCTTTGCCAATACATGTACATGTATATATACATGTACATCCCATAATAACAGATTATAGTAATGAATGCCATTCTACCGCATAGCAGAAAATTCTTGTGGCCTAAAATTTTTGTGGATATTGCTTTTTTTCATTCATAAAAATAAAATCTGTGAAAATGGATTTAACACGGTTCAAAATGGCCAAAAAGTAGAAAATCAAGCCACAAAATTGATTTTTCGACAGATCTGCCAAACAATTGGGCCTAAAAATTTCCTGCTGCATGGTATATTTGAAGCAAACACATAAGTCCAATCAGTGACAATTTAAGTCAAGGTACATGTATTAGCATACAAAACAAGGGTCTAAGATACCATAAAATGAATTCAAATATTAGAAACACTGATAATGATCATGCAATGCAGCCATTATAGAAAGTATTTAGATTGGGCTATGAGTTAACATTATGTGGCAAAAACATTAACTTTCTTTCTGTGCCAACTCAAGTACAAATGAGTTTAACTCTACTCACATACCACAAATAGTGTTAGCAAACATGAGTAGGTAAAAATTTAAAGAATGCAAGCAAAATAGCATTACCAGAATTCAAAATTTAACATGGGCCTACTGTCTATGTCATTAGGTCAGGCTAAAAACACTCTAAGACAATTTTTCTTTAATCACTTTTTAGTAAATTTTTCTTCTCTCTCCTGCTCCTTTCACTTTCAATGTCCTTGTTGTAATTGTAATTCATTATCATCCTAGTAATTTATTGATTTGTGTTTTTCTCTCTCTACTTCTCTTAATTATGTTGTTATTCTTTTTGTTTTTGTCTGTTTGTTTATTTATTTTGTACAGGGGATCAGATCCTGTTTCTGATCTACCTTCAGTATATTCCGCCATTTTATTTTCTATATTTATTATTTCTGTAAATTACATGTATACTGTAAAGTTCTTTAATAATAATAATAATAATATTCATCAAACAAAAAGATTAAAGGCATCAGTTACAGCATAAAATATACAGTGTACATACATGTACATGTACATGTATCAACCATTGAAATTCATACTTCATCAATCAAATATAAAGCTCTTCCTTAACACCATCAAAGAAGTCACTAACATATGTACATACAGGCTAATTTTTACATGTACATGTAGAGAGTAAACTGTGACTCTTCATGTCTCTTATCAACTTCAACGAAATTATTGCTTTAACCACAAAAGGAAATATCCTATCTAAGGCTGCGTTTACACAGCAACGCAAAACGTATCGTTTTTAAAACGATACACTTTGAACACCGTTTTCGTTTCCATAGAGTCCTATCAAGATTCTATCACGTTTTCATCCGTTTCTGTGTAAACGGAAGCATAAAACAGGCACAAAACTGTACGGATTGCATCGTTTTCGTTGCTGTGTAAACGCAGCCTAAGGTTTAAAATTACCTATCAAAACTCAGAAGCCCTACTAGACAATTTCTTACACCTTAATGTCTAAGCAGAATTAAACATTCTCAATTTCGTTAGTTTAAACTTTCAATTTACGTGCACGTGATCACTGTTATGAGGCATATATGTATGCTAAAAGTTAAATATAAACAAAATAATTATAAAAGACTCAAAATAATAATAATAAAATTAATGTCCAATCCACATGACTACAACAATGTACTGTGAAACAAAATGCTACAATTTAAAGGAATCATAATCACCTTTCCGTAGCCCAACACTTATCGTACTTACCTAAAGTAGAGTAATCTTCAGAACTACCCAGAGATAACTGACTCTCTTCTCTTTCAAGATCTGAGGGAAAGCCAACCGGAGTAGCCATTAGATGGCCTCGGGTTGATCTGCAGGCTCTAAAAAACTTGCCGAGTACCAAGAGATTTAGTCTCGTGTAGCTACCAAAGAATTAGAAGACCGAGCTATTCGATGGAGAGATTGTACATCTATTTCGTCGTTTAGATTTTTGTCAAAATCATTACTCATGTAATTGGCATGCTTACACCTCCTCCGCAAAACTAAAACCACGCCTCTAGATCTACCAGGGCGCTTAGGATCACTCTTTTTATGCTTTATTAGTGTACTGCAAACTTTTCCCTGAACTTGCTAATTTAGAATTTTGTGATCAAATCATACCATCAAGAGTAAATGTAGATAATAAATAACTAGACATCTAGTAATATATTATGTATTCTCACAAGGCTTGCCTTCTTCAGTTCTTTAGCATAGATGTATACATAATAATTTATTAATTAATTATTTTAGATCTAGATGTGCATCTACAATGTAGATCCAATAAAGTAAGAATAATCTACATTAATGTATTAATATCAATAATGTAAAATTGTAAAAAAAATTCACATTTTGCCAAGTCTTGACTGTTGGCATAGCCACAAAGAAAGTACATTGTAAAATCTCATGAAGCATTGACAGAATATTAATTCAATTATTAGTCCACCCAAGTTTTTTACTCTGCTCATCTTGTCTCTGTATTTGAGCCAGATCAATCTCCTGTGGTACTAATCCATTAATAAAAGCTGGTTTTTCTGATGCTTCTGGTAATAAAACTACATTGTATAAATCAAAGTAGAAGAAATTAATAACTGAATTGTAACAAACAACAAAGCCTATGTAATACATGTAGCCTTGCGAGTCCAACATGTCTCATAATAACCAGTAACAAAAATTTTAAAAATAGGTATTACAAAAATAAAACAAAATACAGCAATAGTTGTTTAGTAAACGTAGCTTTTTCATTAACAATGACAAACATTTTAGTAAAGTACATTAATTTGTCCAAACCACAAATTAAATTCTTTATTCACAACAGAAAATAAGACAAAAGTCCTCAAACTATATAAATATTTATAACAACAATTGAGATTGAATAATGAAAAAGGATCACCATCTTAAAAAACAACTACATGTATTTTATATGACCTACATGTACATGCATAATAATGCTTTAGCTATCATAAAGTTAAATAGTGATTAGTAATTGTATCTATTCTCAAAAATGAATGCATCAATCAGATCTGGACCTCCTATAATAAAACAACAATGTTGCTACTCATACGTAATAAACTCAACATTTAATGAGGTCAAATCACGGATATACATGTACAATACATAGTATCGTGAGTTAGACCATTCCCCAGCCTACAGTCATTTGGTTGGTCCACTTTAGGCTGGGGAATGGTCTGGCTCACGAGACTACAGCATACACATGCACCAGAATAAGTCACAACGCAATGACCCCTGTATCAATTCCATGGGAGTGGCATTAGGTCACTGAAAGAATCCCTGCTGTTAAGAAAGTTATTTCACTTTCATTTGCAAGCCTGTTTTGTTACTTCGGTTCATTCCTCCTGTAATTCACTATCATTATCTACAATATAAATCTTGTTATGAAATGTCAAGAACTCAAGATCCTGTTGTCAAGAAACAACATTTTCTGTAGCACCATTTTTCTAGCACAATAACTTTTTGTCCAGACAATATAGGAAGTAATGGGTTTTGTCACAGGAGAACTCTAATAAAAATGTTGTAATTAGGTTACTAAACAATTTTTATAACTATTTTTACTTTGCTTTCATTTGTTTGGTTGGTATGTATGTACTCTTTTAGAACTGGCCCATTGAATGCTACAAACTTTCTACATGCTTTATTGTCAGCTGCTTCATTGTTCATTTTCTGGGCACATATACATGCATGCATATAGTCTATGGTCAAATAATGTATTGGTTTATTTTTGCTGTAAAGTAATTTCAGCTGCTAGTACATTTACAGGCAAATAAAATTCAAAGGTGAAATACAGTACATAACGCATGCATAACACACATACAAAGGTACATGTATATGCATCAACAGAAAGTCTGAAATACTACATAAGACTACTAAGATACATGTACATGTACTACATGGCATGCACTGTATTAAAACAATGAAAAATCTTTTATACAGGATATTTTTAGAGGATTAAACTACATACATGTACTGCACATGTACAAGTGAGTGTACAAGTGAAAAAGAACTACAGTACATGTGTGCACAAAAAGCTGGGTTAAAATTCCCAATAGGTTTGCATTTGAACAAGAATTATTACAATCTTATCTTAATGTTCTTACTCATGTTACTATTTGCTTGTAACAGTAACAATACCAATAGTGTAAACAAAATGAAGTACACTTAAGACAATTTTAAAAAAGAAACTTTACCCCAACGGGAGAGAAACATCAAGGATTATTTTTAAAGCAGAAGGAAAAAACCTCAGTTTCAAAAAAATTAATATTAAAATGACTGCAACAAAAATCATGCAAACATACCTTTATATACATCAATATCATGTAAAAGAGAGTGGCAAGTGACAGGAATTGATGGACAAACTCTCGAAATTAAAGTTGAAAGATTTTCTCTTGAACATTTATTTTGAGTGGCCATTTTTTCTTTCAGGATGCAATAGTCAGAATCAGGTACACTGTATGTCTACAAAAAATTGTTAGTCAAACTTTTGTTATTCAAATGCTCCTTTCAGAACCAAACTTTTGTGACAGACTACATAAGCAATTAAGTAGGTCCATGTGAAACACTAACAATCATGACATTAATCTGTAAATACATGTACATTGTGGGGATATAATTCAGATATGAAATGGGCCAGTTCCTTTACCCTGGTATAAAACAGTATAAATACCATAAGATCCCACCAAAATGGCAGGCAGTCAGGAATCACGAAAAAATATACGGCACTATATACCAGGTATTTACAAATACAGCCAACAATCAGCAGACACAACTCAAACTTTATAAAAATCCTGTTACTTAATAATTTTAAAAACATAAAGTACAGACGCTAACTATAAAAAGGTTAAATTTTAATCTATTCGCATGTACATTAAATTAGCTCTTCCACAATAGCATAATAATTTTGCCATAAATAATTATTGATAAAATTGGAACATGATCTAATACTCAGTATGACTATAATGAAACTTAATAAAAACCATTAAAACTGCACTAAAAACAGGGAATCAATGGCAAACTTGTTATAAATAAATGTGTATTGCTTCACAATTTCAACACATGTAAAACGATTACTCAATTAAAAACTCACTGGAGTTTTCAAAAAAGTATGATTGTCAGGATAAGATGGAAAGTTAGCAGAAATATGTGGCGGATGCTTCTTATGAGATCCAACTTGTAAAACCTTGCCAGGCAAATTAGGATAGCTACGTAACTCTAAAAAATATAAACAAATACTACAGATACATGTGTATGTATTAATAACATTCATACGTCGAGGTATATGCCTTCTCTGAGGTCTTTGAGCATACTCTTCCAAATTCATAAACCTTGCTCCTAAAACAAAATTGAAATGACAAACAACTTATTGAATAAAACCTAGTTCAATAAATGCTAAATGAATATCAGATACAGTTGGAACTGATCGCTGAGCAACTTCACAATAGACATTTGATGTGTGACCAATCTCTTTAATATCTACAAAATATACATTGTTTTGTAAATGCACAAAGTACCATATAGTTACTTGTTATAAGTAAAAAAGCATCTAATGTACAATATACTTAGTACAACATTAAAATACAAAATATAAAATGAAAATTAAAATTAATTTTGGCAAAAATTATTTTTAGTGCATTGACAAAATACTATCACATAAATTGTACATCAAAATCGTGACTGTATGCTATAACAAAAGAGCCAGTAATTATAGAACATGCATTTTACAAGGATAGTCTACATGCATGACTTAAATTGCATGTACATGTAAAAATCAACTAAATAAATTCCTGTGCAATAAACAACACATGAAGTAGACTGAGATCAATCTAACAGATAAACAGCTACCGTATAGCAGGTTTTTTGTGAATAATAATTTCACAAATAACCCATATTCAAAAGCTTGTGGAATTAATTTTCAAGAATTTTTCCTATTCTGCTATCTTTTACCATATTAAATTGATTTTCAAGGAACTTAATTTCACAAATCTTGAAAAATCTGCAAAATCTGTTATCCTCAAAAACAACAAGCTATACGTTATTACCAATACATGTACATACAAAATCAAAATACATACAATAAAGCTGTGGCACTATGTCATTATAGTGCAATGCTGAGCCACTCTATCTCACTTGTCATTATAGTGCAATGCTGAGCCACTCTATCTCACTTTAGTGACTTCTCTGTACACATATAATGATCAATAAAAACCCTACAACACAATGTATCTGCTAGACTGCTTGGCTCTTAATCATACACCAGGAACAGTAAAATTAATAGCAAACATACATGTATAAGCAAGCATCATTATTAGCTTTATTGTGAACAACATTATGCTAGTAATCTGCATCAAAAAAGCAAAGCTACATATATGCACATGTATCATGTGTCAAACATCCCATATACATTCTGTAGCCGCAAATTCATGTTTTTTAAATTATTGTAGAAAATTTTAATGTACATACAATTTATCAGTATTAGTTTTAATGGAATTCAGCCAGCACAAAACCTAATTCAAACATAACTAATTGGAATCTTAAATTTAGCATTCATTAAAAATTCATAAAGTTAAACATGTACGACATCACCAAAAGGGTGTGTGTGTATTAATATGGGTGTACATAATGTGGGAGCTACAGGCTTAAGGTGGGTTCCTAATATGACGCACTGTTTTTCATGTGCAAACGTCATAACCAAAAGTGCTGTAGAGATGAGTGGGAGTATGCGTCATTGCATCAGAATAGAAAGTTTTTAACCTGACACATTGACACGTGCTCCCATTGGTTTATACAGAACTTCCGGTCGTGACACACGTGCATGCATCATATTGAGAACCTGCCTTAAGGCCTAAAGCCAACAAGAATTTATGGGAATTTATGGGAATTAATTTTTTCAGCATTAATTTTTATGCAATATTAGCCCCACACATCCCAAAGCAGGATCGCATGAAGAAGACGGCACAGGAACTGGTATGTTTTAGGTTTTATATGCTATTAGGATTGGGATACGGATATAGTTTCTACATCTCTTTCACAGTACCGTCTTCCATCCCAAAGCATCCTAAAGTTACCGAATGGTTATCCAGACTAATTAAACTTATGTATATACATATACAGTCTACACCCATGTGTTGCAAAATGTAACAATAGACAAAAAAAATATAATGTTGGCAAAAATTTACAAGATTGTAATACTTGAGCAAGTACTTCAATGGCCTCACGGTTTGCAGAGACATATCCTGCCTCAACGCACATAGCAGCCACAGCAGACTCCATTTTTAATTCTAAAGTGGGCTTGCCAGGATCCGCCCCTAGCATGCACCACCTACCACCACACCTCACACACCACTTCGAGTTTGGAGAACTGAAACTGTTAAAAAATTTTAAGACACAAGATCCTACTAAGCCATGAATGAGATTGGAGAAAGTGACATTGAAAGCTTCGTTTCATCTGGTGATATAGACGGCCTTGCTGTATTTTGTGAAGAAACTGAACTAAAAGTAAAAATTCATAATTATAATGCATAGCCATCTACATGTATAGTATGTATGTATATACACAATGTGGGTCTAGTGCTGTCTTGCAGGTTGGAAAAGCCTTGGCCAAGACTCGGTCAAGTGATGGACCATGGATCTTAAAGTTGGCAGCCAATCCCAGAAGAGGTGTGCCCTCTTGATGTAGGTTAGGGTTTAGTGTTTATAATTTAGCCATAACACTTGTGGGGCTGTCTTCTTTATGTAATTCATTATTAGAATAATGAAAGGAATTGGAAACTCCCATCCCTGCCCAATGTGGTTGTCATCACCCCATTGACAGCATCTGTGTTTGTCTGCATTAGTGATTGGTCATAATAGAAAAAGGCTAGTTATTTTGAATCAATTAACTCCTACCCATGTTGCCAGTGATTTCGATGGAGAAGTGCAACTAAAATTACTACATAACTAAGTTATATTTTTGTAGTTAACGTGATACCAGGAGTAGATAATAATATTTTTTATTATCTACCCTTAATGATATTGTGGTATCAAAAGTGATGCCGAATGCATGACCATGTAAATTTGTAAAAATTTAAATGCAGCCATTAACTGACCCTCAGTGACATTATCTTTATTGTTGTTTATAGTCTATAAATTGTCATCCTGTACCAGATGTTTACTCAAGTCTTTTGGCAGTATATTTGTTAAAAAATGAATTGTAAGTTTGTATTATATAAATTTGTGGAGATTTTTATTTCACGAATCTGGTAGATCCATGAATATACCGTATAACGCTTTAATTTGGCAGAGTTTTATTTTGGCGATTGGTGGTTTGGAAGCAGAATCTCCAATATTAAAACTGCCAATTATTAATGTGCATGCTTAGTAATGCACGTGGTCACAAAAATTGACAAATTAAATACCGCCAATTACAATTTTACAGGAAAATCACCAAAATACAACGCCGCCAAAATAAAGCGCTATACTGTAGCAAAGTTAATGGCATTGAAAGTTTCCAGCTACATGTATATGGTATAAAAGTTTCAATGTAGTTGTACAATGCTGTATTTATTATAAGTACAATGACACAGATTTACAAACTATAATTAATTTTAGTGTTTATTTTTAAGCTCATGTTTCTCTGCTCTATACACTTTGATACACATTGAAGTACATGTATTTGCTTTTCTCCCAGTATTTTTCATGCATCACTATAAAGAAGGTATAGCAGATTTTGTCTGTGGGCTAAACTTTCGATTTTTTGTGAAGAGATCCAAATTCATTGCTTTATTAGCAAATGCTATGATCACCTACTCCAAGAATTTAGTTAATTTTGTTTTTGGAGCTTTAAAGGACATACCGTAGTTTTGTAAAGCGCTTTAATTTTGTTGAGCTAAAATTTTGCGGATTGATAAAATCAATTTTTGCAGAAATAACTTTGTTGATTCACAATGTTAGTGCCACACCTTTAATGGCAATTGAACATTTAGCGGATCTTTAATTTTACGGTTGCCTACTAACCTGAGAAAAAAACAAAGTTTTGCTTCATGAAAATAAAGCACTATACAGTTGTCTGATGACTTGCACTTCAGTTTTTGATCAGATACATGTAACTGCCGTCTCATTTATATGCTTTTTTACAAAAAAATACATACATGTATAAACCTATCTGAGCTTTAGTTAGTTTATACTTACATAATACTACAGTATGCATGTCCATTCGTTTATGTAGTACCTAGAAAGTAGCTAAAAGTATCAAGTTTTTAGATTTATATATGCCTCATTTTTCTGCTTTATGTACACATGTACATGTATGAGTAAAAATTGCATTAATGGCTTAATCTTTAATCAGTAGTTACTTTCATTAGTTTCAATTCATGTTCAATTGCAAACTTCAATCCTGTATTTTTATGTTCCATGACATTTAAGTGAGTCTAGAGCATAATTATCAATACGAAAACTGTACATACATCTGTGTAGTAAAATTTATTGGTGTTGAAAATTTACTAAACTAATTGGTTGGCAGCCTAAATTTTAGCAATTTATCATCTTCCACATGGCATTATATTATGCAATAATTGAAAAGTTTCTTAATTTGACATTTTGCTGAAAATGCCAAATTTATTTGTCACCTTATATCAGATGTAATGCATCCACAAGCACAATCACCAAATACATGTACATGTATTAATAATATTGCAAGTGTTATCTTCTATGATCGTTGCTGTATAGCAAGAAATTTTTGTTCCAGAAACTTTCGTCATCCTTTCAAGCAGGCTTTACGAGATATTTTCGTAGATTTTATTTTCATTTTGCCTAAAATAAATATTCACTGTCACACCCACTTAATTAGTGCCACGTGTATGGTTTAAGAAGAAAGAATGTCTATGGTTTGTGGTTACCACATATAAAAGACAATTAAAGCCCATCAGTTGGAGTAAGAATTGCCTTTCTGTGTCGAGCCTGATGATGTCACAGATTGCTATGCCATGGCTGAAGTGAAAAGTGGATCTGCTGCAGGTCAATAATTTTAGTTACATTAAATTTTCATAGTCTAAAAATTTCTTTTGAAATTTTGGCCAACAAAACAAACGAAAATTAGCAGTCAACGAAAATTTGCTGCTATACAGTATCAATGCTGCAATTTGAGATCAGATTTGTACTTACCTTACTTTTTAGGGATCATGCAAAGTTACTTTGGAAACGTATTCCTGGTGATGTAAAAGTCAGCCATCCAGAGATTGGAAAGTTGTGGGAAATTGGTACTAAACTTTGGATTCATTCATTCAGTGACGTATATTCACTTATTAAGGACACAACTTGGCCAACTCACATAGTTCCTATACTGGCTATGTTAAACGGTATGATATTAATACAACATGCATATTGTACTGGCATTCTAAAAGTGCATATACTTGTAGTACATGTATTGTGACTATACTGTCACTGCATAACACTAGCACTGTGTACTGCTCTTTATTTTAGCAATTTTTGCAAAAATAGTATAATAATTAATACACAATCGACACCCAGTATACATTTCTTATTGAACCTCAAACTGCAGCTGCCAAACTAAAATGCCATAAATAATGGTATGTAACTTTTGCAGCTCAGAATTTAATGTAATCACAAAATAAAATTTTGTTCTGTAGAAAAAATTAGAAGTCGTGTTCTGCAACTAATTGGATGTGCTTATTCAAATATCAGCCTCAATCAATTTTGTGTGCTGCTTGGACTTGAGTCACAACAAGCATTAGAAGGTTTTGTACCATACATTGTATGTATTATTAAGTAAAGTTTTTAACTTTCAATGTATAGTTGCTGCACAACAAAGATGGACATTTGATGAGAAAGTATCTGTAATTTACCCAAAGAAGACCAAATCTAGCACAAAGGAAATTGAAGAACCCCAGGCCAGATTAGCTGAATTAGTTGACATTGTTTCATTTTTGGAAAATTAGTGTTGGACCATATACATTTCGTCATTACATGTGCATGTAGATCTATTTGTGGTAAAATCATAGTATGACTAAGTAAAATACACATTGTGTCACTATGAATACATGTATTTACCTGAGTCATGCATAGGCAAAGGTAAAGTGGCCATCCTGTTAGTGAGTGGGTTTGTGTGCTAATTCACTTAAACTCAATTTTTGAGCTGACAGAGACTGCTTTCTTATTTGATGCTGCTAATGCACTTATAGATATGATACACATAACAGGTACATGTATAGATGTATCTGTGAATATAAGTCAACACATTATAATTAAAAATCAGCCACTACAGTTACTTGAGGAATGAATGACAAAATAATTGTTACTGTACATTAGATATGTCATTATTTAGTAGCACTAGTAACGAGAATGTAGCCACTTCTAATACTTGATTATCTTGAAGGTGTGCTGTTTCACCAGTAACAACTACTTGTCCACCAATGTATAATGGACGCCTTCCCTCATTTTTAATTGTAAATATGCCATCACTGTTTAGTCTGATAGTAGCCTGATGACGAGATATTTTATATGCTGGTCCCTCCAGTGACAAGTCAAATGTCACTTGTTTAGACTCTGACTTCCGTCCAATTGTAACTTCATGTGCTCTCATCATGAACTGCACAACACGCCCCTTTAATATAGCTAGCACACCTTCATCAAAAAGAGGAGATGGTGCCACACTTAACATTTCACTCCAAACTGGCATCTCTTTCTCTAGCTGTAGCATTTCCCTTTTTGCTTGTCTGTCAGATATCATAAGTTCTATAAAAGTAGAATTATTATGTATGTCCATTATTCTTAAAACTGACCCTGTGCAACAGCTTCCTCCTTGACATCTTGAGATTTCCTATTTAAGAACAACAGATAAGATAAAATATAATCATCATATTTACACAAGTTCCATATCATTTAGCAGATCTTCTGCATCAGAGAAGTTGACAACACTACCAGCAGGAGGAACAACATCAACTAAAAGAAGATAATAACAAGATATGTACCATATACCAGTGTTTTTTAAGGGTTGCAATTACGGCAAATTTCATGCAATACCAACTTGGCATGTGACAGAATTCGCATAATGAAATTTAACATATTAGAAACTTGGCAGAAGTTGCAAAACATAATTCCCTTAAAAACTTAAAAGGTATAATTACCATGCTGATCACACAACAGATTATAGTGCCCCATAAGTACCCAATGATGATGTAACGAAGTAGCTGATCTGCAAGGGTGAAACACAGCAGGAAAATCTGCTAACAACTGTTGAAAGGTTTTTAAGTGGCCTGGGTCTGACTATACTATAAAGTAATACAAATATTGCTTAAAAGAAAACACTCACAGATGGTATTTTAGAAAGACATATTTCCTCATCTTGGCTCCAAAGAGCATTGTTCAGTGCCATTGTGACAACACCAGGATGTAAGCTTCTTATGGCATCAATAGCCAATCTACACAATACAAAAATTGTTTGTTCATAAACCCTTTACTTCTTTATAATAAAAGGACAGATACTCATAGCATGTAGTGAAATAGCTGTATCACTAAAGCTCCGTAAGATATAAAATTACAATTATACTAATCTGTCAATTTAGAAATCTAATAAAGTTTCGCTCTACAAGAGTACCCTATAGGAAGTTCCTTGCATGTTCCTTGCATGTTCCCTGCATGTTACCATGCAGTTCCTTGCGTGTACTGAGATGCGCAAGGAATTGGGACGTTTTCTTGCATGTTCCTTGCAAGGGCCTTGCGTGAAACTACTTTACGTTCCTTGCAAGAGCCTTGCATGTTCCTTGCAAGGACCTTGCATGTTCCTTGCACATTATTTCCTTGCATGTTTCTTGCATGTTAATTCCTTGCATGTTCCTTGCATTTATTTCCTTGCATGCTCTTTATAGACCACGGTAATCACTTATTTATACATGTAACTCTTAATAATAACTATAGTGTCAAAAAGTTACTTCACATGTACTATACACATCATTTACATGTATACACTTATTGTTTTAATGGCTTTAACTTCTTTATCACTGAAAAATAAAGTCAGTTTTCAGTTAAGGGCAGCTAAAGCAATATAGATAAAATTAAACTCTCTCTTCAGTCTCCTTTTGTCCTGTCCATACATCAGTAGACTGTGTCTTCATGATAATCTTTTTGCTTTACTACCTGTATCCAGGAACAAAGATAATCTTGCTAATGTATATATACATGTATATCTTAGGGAACTATAGCAGCATTACTACATGCTTACCACTTTATTTCCACCATCATAACTGCTTATGGTTTCAGTTCGTGGAAAGACACCATTTAGATATCTTGATTTAAGTGCTAGCTACATTAGCCAAGCCAAAGGATTGTCCAATAACAGATAAGCCATTCAAAGTAACATAAACAATCCGCCCCTTTTTTGTTTTCTCCCGCCTATTGGCGCCTAAAATAACTACCTGCTTAAATTTTGTATAGGCACGTGATGCATGCTTTGATATGTACATGCATGCATGTATGTATCAAAACTTTGGTACATATCAATTATAGTGTTATTGTAGTACTATAATTTCTTTTAATTCTGAAAACTAAAGTTCAAAATAATCTAGTTCTAGAGTTTAGTTTTTATTCTATTGCTCTGGACTTGTCTTTAATAAGTTTAGTTCTATAGTGCTAGTGCAGAAATAGATTTCAATTTGTTCTGGTATTATGTACTATGTAAAACTATGTAAAACTATAGTATAAGGTAGTTTAAGTGTATTTCTAGTTCTCACAGCTATATTTTAGTAAAAGTAGTACTAGTTCTATAACTATGAAAAATGTACATTCACATGTATGAAACTATGTACATTCACATATCATGCATGCATATACTATATGCATGCATGGTGTATGCTTGCATATATTATATGCATGCATGCATAAACTGCGTGCATGCATGGTACATGCATGCATATACTGCGTGCATGCATGGTGCATGCATGCATATACTGGGTGCATGCATGGTGCATGCATGCATATACTGGGTGCATGCATGGTACATGCATGTAATACCACTATAAGCATGAAACATGCACTTTCCATGCATGTACCATGCATGGAAAATTCATGGATTTGCTATCCTTGCATGTTACTAGTCGTTCCTTGCATGTATAATGCAAGGAACTTCCCATAGGGTAATTGGATGCTTTTAGTCACTAACTATGCTACAGCCATACAGCAAGATCACACCACAACCTGAGGTTAATAATAAGGCCTCAGATCACTTAAGGACATCAGGGCTATACATATTAACCTCCCAGTATCAACTTCTAAGCAAATGGCACAGCGTTTTCAATAAAATAAACAAAATTAGACTCATATTTATAGTGTACATTTTGTGCTAAATCAATGTTTCATATTCCAGTACATAGATGCATCACAATGTACATGTACATCTAGGTCTCCTGCAAACTGGGCCACATATGCGACAATAATAATATGGCAAAAAGCATCAACCCAGGTGTGCTAATTTTTCATACAAAACACTGACAGTGAAAGGCTATAATAAAAACATCTTTAGACCATTATAGCACAATTAGTATAAAGTTTAGATCAATAAAAATATTCTCACTTCGAAATTTGAGGTTCATATAGTAATGCATGCCACCTTTCTTCTATTTCTTTGAGAGTGAACCTGCATGAAAATTTTACCCCTAAATGCACAGCAGCTAAATCATTAGTCTAAAAGAGCCAAAAATTAGTTAAATGTACACAATGGCATTTCTTCACTTGCAAGACAGCGCTGATTAACATGAGATCATCTGGCGGACGCCATCGACCTAAATCTTTAGCTGCAGAAACAAACTACATGTACACATTCGAATAGTATATAGAACAACACTCTACAAATAAAAGTACCTTTGGCTTTACTTTTTTCTGGCTAGCAGTTCCAGATTTTGAAGCCTAAAAGTAAATACAAAACAAAATCTCACTGCATTGATAATGAGAAAAATCTTTTTAACTTTTTACATTTGAAACATTCTGTTAAATTTGTAGTTGCATCATGTTAAGATTAATGGCATTAATTTTAGTTAATTTGACATTATTATATAGGCGGTAGCCTATATGTAGGATTGAGGTTGATTTTTCAAGATGGCGGCCGTTTTTATGATTTTCAAACACTCACAACTCTTTTATCTTACGTTGTACAGCCTTATAAATGGCTTATATGAGCTCTCCTTCACTGAGCGATTCTC